GCCCAGTGCTCTTGACAGCACACAGACCAGTCCACAGATGAGTCTTCCCTGCTATGGAAAGCTGCATTGAATTTCTATTAGGAGTTGTTGTCCAACACATTTAACAAGTGCCAGGCTGTGGAATGCCAGGAGCTGTAGATCAACACTTTTAGAGATCACCAGGTCAGGAAAAGCTGGTCTACTTTCACATTTAAAAAGAATTGCTCACGTGTTAATAGAAATCCAGTCCATTTACGAAACTATGCACATGCCAGTAACTCTGCAGCAACCTTGAGCTCTACAACAATGAGTCATTTTACTCCTTCTCTGGTGAAAGATGCAATGTGTCGGAGCATGCATGGGGGGAGGGTGCTAAAAATAATGTGGCAGATGCGGACCTCTCTCTAGCCTATGCACATTGAATACATTTATTTATTTGGGATATTTCTAACCCATCCAATCACTATACATCCATGGATGGCTTACAAACAGAGATGTTTGTATACTGCACATACAAACCCTCCACATGGATGAAGTGGAGAGTTTATCCATATGTTTGGAAACCCCACTTTTACACGGTTCCTTATTCCATGGGCAAGAGATCTCCCTGCACAAAAGCAAAATAAAACAAAGGAAACCAACAAATGTTTAACACGTGTTTGACCACTCCATCTTGGCTGTCTGAAAAAGCTTGAGGAGAATATTGAAAACATCATCAAATTGGATTAACTTTTAGAAATCAACAAATGGCACAACTCCAAATCAGAAGGAAGGGAGGGAGGGAGGGAGGAAGGAGCCATATAAAGAATTTTTGACCTTGTACAAAGTCAATAAATCTAGATTGGGTAGCTTTATGGCACATTAATTCTACAGTAATTCTTTAGCAGTGGCTTTACACTCACAGAAAGTGATCCTGCCCGCACAAGGCGGCCCATCCTATTTTCACTAGATATAGTGTTCCTCTGGGGACATTTGCTGCTGTCCACCACAAGATACCTCCACGACGAGGTCCCACACATATAAGAGCCTCTCCTACCCACAAAGACAAACAAATCCGTACAAAATCTGAGTCAGCCCAAGCTGAGCCTCCCACTGTCCAGAGCTAAGGAGTCCACGAAGTGCCCCTTTCAGGCTGTTGAGTAGATAGCCCGTCTACCAGCAACTCCTACATCATATCTCCAAATGGTCTGGAGGGTTGCCCAACATTCCTGAGGAACTTTTCAGGAATTGTGGCAGGTTGCCATAGGTGGGAAGGATTGGTAAAAGCTGGATCCCCGGCCTTGTGCCAGTGGAAGTGGTTTCTACTGGAGCAAAGGCACCACTGGATGTGACACCTTGGTGGCTGGTACTCCAACTAAGCTAGCACAGCTGCCATTTTGGAAGCTGGCCTAGGGCAAAAAGAGTTCATATACAGAACTCTAGCTATAGCAGCTATAGGAGGTATGTTACTATCCCACTAAGGACAAGCCCGTATTCTAGTCCCGGATTGTGCTGGGTGTGTGCCAGATCATCACCTAGCAAGATGATACAGTTGACCAGGCATCTCTAAGGCGAGAGCTTTGTTAAGGCCAAAACAGTCAGGACTTTAAATCCATATCTCAGCCTTGCAGCTTTGGGTTTCTTCCCTCCCTCCTGTTGTGCTGCTTCTTTTGCTCTACAGCAGGCTCCAGGACTCCAATCGATTCTAGGAGACCATCCTCCCCATCTCCATGCTTGGAACTAGATTGATCTCTTGTACTGGTTCTAGAGCCAATAGATGCTGGATAGGGATTTAAAATCATATTTGCTTTGGTCCTCAGATCAGCTAAACGGTTTCAACATATCAACAAGATTTAAGTCCAAAGTGAATCAGCCAAACCTGAGGCAACTGAAGCCCCCATTTTGAAACTTGTTCTAAGTCTATATCGGATCATGACCCTTATTCATGAAAATCTATGCAGATTTTCCCGCATCGTCTTCAAAATGTATATAAAATTTACACAAGTTTGAAATGAACACATCTTTTCCCCTTGGTTAAAGTAGATCTGTGCACAAAGGGATGCATTTAGAAAAGCATGGAATTCAACTACGAATTGTGTCTGAATCCATGGTTGGTCTGAAAGGTCTAAAAATTCACTGAAATGAATTTCGTGGACACCTAGACCAAAAAGATGTTACTTTAAATCTGTATTTAGGTATGCTCTCTCCCCTGCCCACAGACACATTTTTACTCTGCATTAGGCACAGAGACCCTGATACAGCTCTTAAAATCTTCCCCTCTTCATCCTGATTGGACCTCTGCACCTATTGTAGAGTAAACATGGAGCTAGAGCTAGTGATGAAGATAAATTAATGTCAATTCTGGACCTCATTCAGAATGGATGGAGACTTGGTCTTCCTAAGGTAGCCAGGATCCTATCATGAGATTTCTGGTGAGATTTTAATTAGCACTTATCCATTATTAATGCTGTCTTGTTGCCCCATCGAAGGCAATGAAGAAATCCCATATTTTTCTTCTCTCTCGTTAAAAAGCACAGGCTATTATACTAATCTAGATACCCTAATCCCAGCCAACTGAGACAAATAGCACAAGGCATAATCTTGACCTTTACCAATAGTCTATATTTTGATACGCTGCCCATCTTGCCACTTCTTGCCCATTTAGCAAGACTGTAAACAAGGCGGAAACTGAATGGCACAGCCCAGCAAATTGCAGAATGCTGAAAAGGTCAAAATAGCACAGCACAAAGTTACTATCCTGTAATTTACCGAGTATATGAGCCATTCACATTCTAATAACTCATTCTCATGACAAGCCTTGTGAAAAGAACATAAAAGTCACAGTGTGAATCCGTTTCTAAAGCTGGCTGTTGGGTTTTTTTAATACAGATGAGAAAGGATTGCAGCTGTAGCCCACTTTTAATTTTGATCCCTCCCCAGCACATAAATGCAGAGCTGTCCCCCCTGCCCCCAGCCACGCATCACGTGTAGCTCATCGAAATGCCAAACTGGCAAGTTCTCAAAACCTAACCAAGAGCAAGAAAGGCTTTTCATCCAATGTTGTTTCCTATTTGTTGTTTAGCAGAAATTGGTCTAAACTGCAAAACATTCAAGTGCATCCATTAATGGAAAATGGAAAGTCTCTTGCACTGTTAAAGGTGGTGGGGGGTGTTTTCCCTTCATCACTTCTCTCTCACTGCCCCCCCCCCCCAACATTCAGGTCAGTCTATCAGTGCTTTCTGGTTCTTTCCAGAGGCTCAGGCTTGATGTCTTTAAATTAATGTGTGTGTGTGTGTGTGCTTGTGCTTGTGCTTGTGCTTGTGCTTGGGTGGGGCGTGGAACTGCATTATCCATCGTAGATGTCACAAGCACTATCCAATAGAAGTTTTTTTTCTGTTTCTAATCTCCTCCTCTCTTTCTCCGCCCTCTTTCTTCCTTCCAGTCAGCTGCAAGAAGGACAAGATGGCCTTCCAGAGAAGAGGAAGATTAGCGAAAGACAAGGATTGAGTAGCAATTCCCTTTCATTCTTATAGCATCAGTGCAAGAAAGAGTACTAGATACAGCACATGCTGTTATTTCCATGTGGAAATAAGAAGTTTAAAAGCAACTTATGTCTAGTATCCAGGGAGAAAACAATACCATGGATGGAGGAGGGTGCAGAAGGAGGATCTGAGCTTAAATCAGAGCTAGGTTGGTTTACACAGCAACAGGAGTTGATGTGGTGCTTTGGGGAAAGCAATTGAGTGATCATCCTACGCAGTGGCCATGGAGGAAAGTCCATGACAAATGGACTTGCAGCTGCATAAGACAAAAATAAGAACGGATGAAAAAGACGGATACAGCGTTTGGGAGGCTGGGCTTCCATGTGAAGTTGCATGGCCCGGCTGAAGCATGAGGGACTAGGAAGGACCCCAGGGCTTGGGCAGCATCAGCCAGGGACCATGCAGGGCAGCTGGGCCCCTGGCAACTGCCAGCAACAGCCCCCTGTTGCTGCCCGGCCTGTCTGGTGACGCTCATCAGATCATCACATCCACTCAGGCCACGATGCAGGCTGGCCTGAATGCAGGTGGGGTATTCAGTCTGGGTTGAGCTCGGGACTTCAGAAGAGCTAGCCTTAGCACCTTAAAAGTTCAGGCTACAGCTTGGAGTGGATCCTCACAGATCCTGGAGCTGCAGGACTCCGGAACCCGGCTGTCAACACTTCTGCAAATGTTCTTCCACATCTCTGGCCAGATCACATGAACTGACAACAGCTTGTCTATTACCAAAGGGCTACATGATCCCCCTAAAACAAATTCAGCAGGTCAAAATTTAGGAACTGACGGGCCGAGAGTTGTCTTCACGGCCTGAAGGTAGGAGATGAATATTATTTGAAGACTCAGCTTCTACTTTAGTACTACTCTAAGTTAGGAAGGTGACAGGCATTCCGACTGGATTGTCCTCTGTTCTACCTGCATCACCTCCAATGGCAGCGTGTTCCATCGTTCAACTATTTGCTGAATGAATGAACCGTTCTTTTTCTTTTCTTGTCCTGAATCCCCTACTAAATGTACCTACATTTCTGAATCATTGTGAGCTACCCAGAAAAATTTGGCTATTGGGTGGTAAAACATTACAATTATTAATAATGATAATACTTGCACTGAATGACCCAGTTTAGTATTTTAAGAGAGGGAGGGAAGCTTCTCTCTCCCTGCTTTCTCGTCCCCATGCCCATTTCTTTATATCCTCCTCTCACTGCCATCAATAATATTAAGGGTGCACTTAGAACCTTTTACCAACATCGCTGCTTCAAACACAATGAAAATTGGCATCCGCCCCTCCACCTATTAGCTCCTACAGTGAACCACAGCACTTAAGCTGAACAGCCAGTGAAAATCCATTCCTTGAGGGCTGCACACTTAGAAATCCTTTCCTAAACAGGTGCAGCATTGCATTCCACCAGTGGGCACCAGAAAGCAGAACATTGATTTGCATGCTGTAATGATGACCATAAAGTGGTTTTGCATCATTCAGTCTGTAATTCCCAGAAAGCAACTTACCCAGCTGGACGTGTAGAATGCTCGTCTGGTTCTCCATGGGGTACAAAGGCTGGGGAGGCCTCTTAGTGACTAAAGCTGAAAAAAGAAAAAGGAGGGGGCAATGAGGCAAAAGAGAAATGGGAGGAATTGAGACAAACTGCACAATTAGCATAATGCCGCAAGTGGCTGACTTGATAATGCACTAACATTGCTTGTAACAATGGTAATAGTTTCCTGGTGGGTTTTGCCCTTTAGATGGGCCATTGACAAAGCAAAGAATAGAGCAATTGTCCACAGAGCGATTTTCTAGTGAGGACGGGGGGCCATGCATCTCCGTGGACAAGCAGCTGCCCCTCCTCATGCCACACACTGATGTGTCTGGTGTCTATTCAAAGGGAGTGCGAGTTCAAATAGAACTGTAAACCTGACATGTCTCTCTATGTTGCTGTTGCTCAGCATAAATGAGAATCCAGGTATGGTAAAGAACTTAGAAGGGAAAGGAAGAAATGGTAAGCGACAGACTAGATGGCCCAGGAGGCCCCTTCTGACTCACTCGGTTTCTATGTTTCCATGTCTTAGACTGAAACACCCAGTTGGGCCACCCAAGACCTGTGTTATCTTTCTCTAAAGACAAACCAGTCTATTTGTCAGGGTCTTCAGTGATGAAATTCTGAAGCTGTTATGGATTTATTCTTTGCTGCTGGATTTATCTTGGTTTTCGGCACAATTCGTTTGTCATTTTAATGTTTGCACCTTGTTTTAATACATATAATGTATTATGCTCCACCCAGTAATCTTTGGTTATTGTGTAGTTTGAAAGTACAGCAAATGCATTCATTCATTATTTTGGACCAATTTCTGCTTCAGAATAAGATTTTTTTTAAATGCAAAAATGCACATTTATTTTTGAATGCTACTTTCCCTAACACATACCTTTTGTATGCAATTTTCTTCCTATACATCTTTTTGTAAGCAATATTTCCTCATGTGTGTGGTTTTGAGCCCAGAAGTGCACCACACATTCAAAAACATATGCAATATTCCCTTTTACTCCAAGTCAAAGAAAAAACCTTTAAAATAATATTCTTATCAGTACACTAGTTAAAATTGGCCTTTTAGACTAGCAGTCATGGCCAGTTTGAGATCTGAATGATAGACATCCCAAACAAAAGCAGCAGCCTGAAGGGATCTCTTAAGAGTTGTGTTGCCCACATGTACAACTTTATTTGAGCTAATTTGGTAAAAATGTGGCAGCTCAAAACACCTTATTCCAAACTCAAAAGCAACATGTGATGCCAAGAAGGAATCAGCAACAGAATTAGATGACTTTTGGATTATCCTAAGAGTAAAAAGTGGATGGCAGGAGAAACATTTATCATCAGTTTCCTTTGCTTATGCTCATAGCACCTCTGCATCCTGTTAGAAGGAGAGCTGTCAGTGGCACATACTCATTGTCTTCTTTCTACCAAGACTTTTCAAATGCAGCGGATGGGTCAATGCACTGTTCTCAGTCTGCGGGCACTGACAGAGACCATTCGCTAAGGTCTACTCCATGGCATTTGAGACTGAGAATGAGCTCAGTTAGTTTAGCAAATGGACACATGGAAAAGGTGTCGTCTCCTTTTGTGGAGATCAGCATTTCAGACCATGGGGAGAGGTCAGAACCCCACTCCACCCAGACCCAAGGGGGCCTCCTCAGAAGCAGAGCCAAGAAATACAGTGCGACCGCCAAGGAGCTGCATGCAAGAGCGGAGGTGGCACCGGAGGGCTCTTTGTGGGGCTTTGTATGGGCCCTTCTCTCCCTGAGGCCACCTTCTTGCTGCCCTAGTCAGTGGACAGAGTACGAGGTTGACAAATGATTCACCCAGTGGACAGGTAGTAGCATCCCACTGATGGAACTCTCTTCCATCAGGTATCCAGCTGGCACCATCTCTTTATTCTTTTAGGCACCAATGAACAGCATTCAGTTTTCACCATCAGTTTGGTGGCTGAGCCTCTGGTTTATGGTGTTAATGGTTCTATGCTGCTAATTGCTGCTGCCTGCACCAGATTTTACCTGTGGTACTTTATTTAAGTTTTTTTACATTCACTGTATTAATTAAGATTATTTTAAATAGTTTAATTTATTCACTATTTAATTTTATGCCTATTTTTATTATTGTTTTTATTTTTACTGTCTGTTTTTATATTATTTACTGTTTTAAAATGTATTATGCATTCTATTGCTTTAACTGTTGCAGAAATGTGAACTGTCTGGGGAGCCTTATGGCTAATGGGGCGGCATACAACTCTGATGAATGAATGAATGAATGAATGAGGAACAATTTTTCTGTCAGCTAGCGATGTTGGAGGAATTTGCAACAAGATCAGATGGTTTTGAATTTTGAAGACTGGCTTTTCCCAAGTCACATGAATTCTGAGGACTTATGAACTGGGTATTTTTAATGAAATTTAAATAAAATTTAAATAAAAATTTAAAAAGGGTTAATGAAAGCAAATGAATATAATGAAATTTGGGAAGGTTTTGTAAAAGCAGTATTGATACAAGGCAAAGTCTATAAATCTAATCAAGATTATAGGAATTTCTGGAGGGGATATGGATATAATTGAAGTATATTATATATTAATAATTGTTATAATATGTGAATTAAGTGGTGGCTCTATTGGTCTCTGGGGTGGTGGAGGCATTTTATCATTTACTTTTTAATTATTGTGTTTTTGCTATGTTATATTATCATTGCTGTGATGTGTTGTGTTTATGGGGTTTTTTCTGTTTCAAAAAAATAAAAAGGGGGAAAAACTGGGTATTTTTTGGTCCTTTTTCATAATGTAATGCCAGTTTACTTGTAGAAAAATACAAAAAAGAAAAGTCCCATAGGCTAAAGTTTGGAATTAGGCATTTTCAGGGATCTATATATGTTGGAGGGACATGCAAAATTTTGGGAATTTGTGTAAGAACGGATCTATGCAAAATCTGATGCCATCAGTGGGCAAGGGATGAGGAGAAGCTGTCTGATAATTTGTGAAACATGGATGGTATAGGTATTACAGTGTCGGGATACTCCTGCACCAGAAGAAGGGTATTGGATAGGGCTCTTCACTACATGGACCTGCCCAGCAGGGGGCTCTAGAGAGAGATGCAACCAGCCTGGTACGATTCTAGATACTCAAGTGACATTTGCCAAAGACTCTACACTAAATTGATCTGTACATATTTTTTTAAACTGTAGATGTTGAGGCAATAAGAACAAGAGCAGGTCACTAGGGGTGACAGACACAAGGGCATTCATTGATCATATATATTTTCCAATCTACATTTGTTCAAATTCCACTTTCCCCCAACTCTCTCATCGCTCCTCATGAAAACTTGGTCAATAAATAATAAGGCAGGGGAAAGAAAGCCAGGAACCACTGAACCAGAAGTACACAGAATGATATATAACCTAATATCAATCATTTTATTTAAAGCGATCTCTTTAGAGAAATCATTTGCTGTTTGGTCTTGGCTGACTGTAAAGACCAGGGAAAATAAAGCTTATGTTCCTTCACCTAACACTTACAACCAGAGAATCTTATCACAAGACCCAATGCTTGATAAGATTGTGGCTTTCCCCCTCTGGAAAGTCTCCACCCTGTAGGAACTCTTCCAGAAGGTGCAATCTGGGAAGGGGCAGAAGGACACCGTTGTTAACGGAAATTGGAAAACGTGACAGGTCATCGAGATTATTTATTTATATTGCGATTTATATCCTGCCTTTTTCCTACAAAGGGCTCAAGGCAGCTTATATCATTTCTCCTCCTCCATCTTATCCCCAAAACAACAACCCTGTGAGATAGGTTGGGCTGAGAGTCTGTGACTGGCCCAAAGCCACCCAGTTGGCTCCATGGCCGAGCGGGGACTAGAACCCAGATCGCCTGAGTCCCAGTCCCATGCTCTTAACCACTACGCCACACTGGCTCTGGTTATGGGTTGTATAACACCACCATTGAGGAAAATGTTGTTCACAGCAGTTCTGCAATGCACAAGTGGGCTGGAATGAACAGGCTGGTTATCCCTCTTTTAATACCAAGGTTCCAATCCATCTTGGAAAGCCTCAGATCCTGGGATGTTGCCCAATGAGGACAAAGAGCTCCATTAAGAAGCCGAACTTGTATGTAGGCAAGTTTCAAAGCCTTCGCGTGTATGCATGAGTGAACCAAGCACTAGATGGGGTACCTTCACAGCTCTTGGAGGACAGGTCAACCAAAAGGTTCTAGAAGGGTACGTGACCCTTATGCAATATTTTCCTGTCCTCCACGGCCTAGAACTGAGTATTTGAGACATGCATATCTTAGGGATTGCCTTCCCCAGTAAATCCCCACCCCACCCCAGGTATGCTTCTGTCAACATCCAAGGCATTATTCCAGGTTTCTAGCCAAGTGAATCTCCCTTGGGTATCCATAGCACAGGAGTGTGGGAACGGTGGCCCTCTAGAAGCTGTTGGACTCCAAAGGCCAGAGGCCCACTTAGCATGGCCACAGGAGATGGGAGTGCGCTCCAGAAGGCAGCCCTCTATTTTGAGCGGCCTTCTGTCTGCAGGTGGCTTCTATCTGACGGGTTGTCCAGTCCTGGGGCCACAAGGAGGTGCACACTAACACTTAGCACTGGACGCTGAACCAAGCATGCAGCCATGCAAGTCGCCGGAGCAATCTTCTCCACTATGGCAAGTTATGTTATTTCGCTTGTTTTATTTCTATTTTGCCCAATTGCCAAGGCATTTGGAGTGATTTAAAACAAGTCATAATATCTAATAAATGACTGTATAAAATACAAATCCAATAAAAACACCATAAGAATTCACAGCAGAGATTTTAAAACTGAAATCAGACAATTTCAGTGACCAAAGGAAGTGAAAACAACGAGCCCACTTAGAAAGAGTTGATATAAGCCTTCCTCCTCACATGCCATCTAGTCCAACCCTGAGATCCCTTAAGCCGTCTCCTCTTTTGTTTCAACACACAGCCCCAGGGGACACTGTGAAGGCACATCCTATCCCTCTCAGCCCTCATGGCCAGCCGAAGAAAACAATTCTACAATGTACTATGCCATAGCCTGA